GCAGTTCTGGCAAGATAGCATGTAATGGAAGTGGAGGCTCTCCACCGAACACGCTGGTGGAGTTCAGTTTAGACGGCTTCAACGATATTGACTTTTATGACGTGAGCTTGGTGGACGGGTTCAACCTGCCCCTGATTGTTGTTCCCATAAGTGGTTCCGGCAGCAACTGTAAGAGCACGGGGTGCGTGGTGGATTTGAACGCAGTGTGTCCGGCGGAGCTAAAGGCAACCAGAAATGAAGAAGTGGTGGCATGTCAGAACCCTTGCAGTGCGTTCCAAGAGGACTATTTTTGTTGCGTCGGGAACCGTTCCTCGTGCGAACCAAGTGTGTACTCCAAAATATTCAAGACGGCATGTCCGCAAGCCTACAGCTACCCACAGGACGACCAAACCAGCACCTTCACCTGTCCCAATCCTGTAGACTACAACATTGTCTTCTGTCCTACATCTACCAATGCCAGGTTAGATTACTGGCTAACTAACTAATCAATTATACAATAAACCTAATAAATAATAAATAATAAATATGCTACAATAATTCTCAGTAATATAAACTCTAATAAATGTCTTTGATCCCTCCCTCCCCTCCCCCATACTAGGACTTTCCACTGGAATTCTGCTATCATGTAATTCCTTGCAAACCATTATATGTATCAGGATTCCCAACCATATACAAACTATTTGTAATTAGTTCAATGTCTTGTTCACTATCTACACCAAAAATATGTGATCTTGTGCCACAAATATACCATTTAGCTTTCCTCATACTCTACATTTTTTGTTATTGATCTTTATTCCATTTTTTCCCGCAAAACCAACAAAGACGCTTGGCAATTCTTTCACTCACTTATTTACGAGTTAAAGGAGATTGTTGATCTAAAGTAGTAATAGGATAATTCCTGTTGGTCGAGAAAGATGACCCGAATATGTCATTTTGTTCATTGTAATCAGAAATAAAAAATTTCCATGATAAACTTTTTTAGCCATAGTTGTAACATTTCATCTTGAAGTCTTGACCGTCTTAGGACTATGAAAACAAACTACTCTTTCTAACTCTCTTGTTAATCCAACGCAAAAAGATAAATTCTCTTTTTGTAAGCCAGAATTACCAAACAACTGCAGAATACAAACTAACCGAATATAAATTCTGTTTAAAACTTATTACACAAACCTTACTTTCCAAAGCTTTATTCAACAAAACAAAAAAACAAAATTATAATTTTATTTTTTTTACAAATATGTTTGTACATTAGCAATTAGCATTGATTTGCACACTTGTTTAGTTTCTCAAAGATCCTTACTAATGTTTCTTGCTTGTAATAAACTGCAGTCGAAGGGTTGGTGACTCACTCATTGCTGGTAATGAGACATCTACATGGCTTTCTCCTTCAGGTGATTTTGCATTTGGCTTCTACCAACTTCCTAATGAGCTTTTCTTACTGGCTATATGGTATAACAAGATACAAAATAGGACCATCATTTGGTATGCAAATGGAGACAACCTTGCTCCAATAGGATCAAAGTTAGAACTCAACGACTCTCGGGGACTAGTACTAAAAAATCCGGAAGGTTTAGAGTTATGGAGATCAAATTTTACCTCAAATGCAGTTTTTACTGGTCAAATGAATGATGATGGAAATTTCCAACTATTAGATCAAAATTTTGTGTCATTATGGGAGAGTTTCACTCATCCAACTGACACATTGGTTCCAACTCAAGTAATGGAGTTAGGTGGAGAACTCTATTCTCGACAAGGACAGCTCAACTTCTCAACTGGAAAGTTCAAACTTTATCTACAACACGATGGGAATCTTGTGCTTAAGCTTATAAATTTGCTTAGCAACTATAGTAATGCTGTTTACTTTAATACTGGCACTGCTGATTTAAACAACGAAACAAATGTTGGCAAGAGATTTGTATTTGATAAATCAGGCTTCTTGTATGTAATGAAGAAAAGTGGGGAAAAGTTTAATGTCAGCACATCAAACGATACCATCTCTTCTAATGATGTCTACTACAAAGCAACACTCAATTTTGATGGAGTTTTGACTGTATCATATTATCCCAAAGATCCAAACAAAGAACAAAAGTGGGTCACTTTAAAGACAATACCAGAAAATATTTGTCTAGATTCTACTTTCACAGATGGTGGAGGAGTTTGTGGATTTAATAGCATATGCAACCTGAAAGATGACCAGAGACCCATGTGTAACTGCCCAGAGAAATATTCTCTAATTGATTCAAATAACATGTATGGTGGTTGCATACCAAATTTCCAAGTAATTTGTCAAGGAGGTGGTCAGATGGGTTCACTAGATGATTACATGATGAAAGAGTTGCAAAACACTGACTGGCCAAAATCGGATTATGAAACAGTAAGTCCTTGTACTCTAGAACAGTGTACAAAATCTTGTTCGCAAGATTGCTTATGTGTGCTGGTTACTTTCAGTGGAAATTCTTGCTGGAAGAAGAAGCTACCACTCACAAATGGGAGAAGAGGTAAAGAAGTAAATGCAACTTCTATCATGAAATTGATGAAAAATGATGAGCTCTTGACTCCTTTACCAAACAAAAAGATGAAAGAAGATCATGATACCTTGATCATCGTGATATCAGTTCTTTTGGGCTTCTCTGTGTTGGTCATTTTAATGTTGGTTGGTACAATGTATTTTGGTTTCTCCTACAACCGGAAGAAGATCAAAAGTGGTGGAACCAACGATGGTGTTGTTGGGAAAAACTTGCGTAACTTCACCTTCAAGGAACTTGTAGAAGCAACAAGAAACTTTAGTGAAGAACTGGGAAGGGGATCTTTCAGCATTGTGTACAAAGGAAGAATAGACATGACAAGTGTGGCTGTTAAGAAATTAGACAAATTGTTTCAAGACAATGATAAGGAATTTCAAACTGAAGTGAATGTAATAGGTCAAACTCATCATAGGAATCTGGTTCGTCTACTTGGATATTGCAATGAAGGACAACACAGAATTTTGGTGTACGAGTTTATGAGCAATGGCACTTTAGCAAGCTTCCTTTTCACCCCTTTGAAAGCAAATTGGAGACAACGATTTGACATTGCCTCTGGGATTGCAAGAGGTCTTGTTTACTTGCATGAGGAATGTTGTACCCAAATCATCCACTGTGACATAAAGCCACAGAATATACTTCTAGATGATCAATGTAATGCCAGAATTTCAGATTTTGGATTAGCAAAGTTGTTACTGATCAATCAAAGCCACACTGAAACTGGAATCAGAGGAACCAAAGGGTATGTTGCACCAGATTGGTTTAGAAGTTCACCAATCACTACTAAGGTTGACACTTATAGTTTCGGAGTGTTGTTATTAGAGATAATTTGTTGCAGGAGGAATGTGGAAAAGGAGCTTGCTGATGAAGAAAAAGGGATATTGACAGATTGGGCATATGATTGCTACAAGAGTAGAAGACTAGACATTCTTCTAGAAAATGATGATGAAGCTATTAATAACATTAATAGTTTTGAAAAATTTGTCATGGTTGCTCTTTGGTGTATTCATGAAGATCCCTCTCTTAGGCCAACAATGAAGAACGTTTTGCTGATGCTGGAAGGAATTATTGAAGTTTCAAAACCCCCAAATCCCTACCTTTACAGTTCTGCCAGTTAAAGTTAAGCATTATGTGTTTGGATGTGGTTTTAACATCTTTTCTTTTATGTTGGATACTTGTTTATTTAGGTGTTCTTCAAGTCCTTAAATTTCACTATTGTTCTTTTGCATATTCACCGTAACTATGATTTACAAGGAAAAAATATACAAACATCTAAAAATACATTCAAGGAATCGCATAAACTCACATTTAAAAATGAAAACAAATATTTATTTAGCAGAATGAATAACATAACAGTTTCACGTAAGAGTGAAAAAGTGGATCATAGCTCACACTATTGCCAACCATTTTTTTTACCTGTTTAGTCAGTCAAATTGACAAATCAAATACAAAGGTGGGGGAGAGGTTGACCCAATAGCTTTTGTTTTCTTTAATTAAAAATAAAAATAAATAATAATTTAAAAGATTAACTTTTTATGTTATATTTTTTTTAAAAAAAAGTAAATATATAATAATATTATAACTTAAATTTTTAACATGTTAACATTTATAAATTAAATTTTAATTATTAGTTAAAAAGGTAATTTAACTTGTAAATATAATAATTATTTTAATTTATTAATTTCAAAATATTAATTATTCAATTAAAAAAT